AACGCTTAACACCAGCAAGGGTATTGTGAGAGACCGAGACCGACTTTTTGCTGATATGCTAGAAATTGATATTGCATCAGAGATGAAGGAACAAGGTGTGCTATACGTGAAACGTTTCACTGCCCGAAAATACAATGAGATCCAACAAACGAACACCTATTTGTTGTCATTCTCCACTCCAACTGCTCCTACTTCCATAAAGGCTGGTTACTGTCAAATCAAAGTGGATACGTACATTCCGAATCCACTGAGATGTTTCAAGTGCCAGAAATATGGCCATGGTGTAAATACTTGCACATTGTCTGTTGTGTGTGCTCACTGTGGTGAGAAGACACACACAACAGAAGATTGTGAAAGTAATTATAAGAAATGCACAAATTGTTTGAGACCATTCCTCTTCCTCTAAAGACTGCCCAATTTGGAAGCTACAGATGGAGATAAATAAGATCAAATTCACTCAAAATATTAGTTTCGCCGAAGCCAAACAGCTTGTCCAAAGATCTGAATTAAAAGAAACGTATGCTTCCAAAACCAGGACTCCATCTGAGGCAACTCTTAAAGTAACTACATCATCTTCAAGCTGCCAAACAAATTTGACTTGGGTGAAAACCACTTCTCCACAGATTTTCTCCACTGCAATATCGATTCAAACAGTAGAGTCACTTCCTGACAGGTCCGACAGTCAACCAGAGCCAGATCATGATCATGGTACATCATCTCAGTCTACCACAGTCTCTACAATCACAAGGTCTCACATTATCGCAAGAATCTCATGATTATTCGAAAAACAAAGTGGCAGAACCCCAAAATTAATAAAATTAAGGCAAGAATAAACCTAAGCCTGAATATTCGAAAAAACAAAGAATTGCAGAGGACTACGGCATAATTACAATGAGTTACAGTTATTAGTTCAAGATTGTATGCCGTCAGCATTTTGTCTGCAGGAGACTTATTTAAAGCAGACTGATCTTTTGACCTACGTCATTTCAATGCTTATCATTATTTCTCACCTCCAGGTGACAGGGCCACTGGAGGATCTTCAATCCTAGTCAAACAGTCTGTTATCCATAGCCCTATTACACTTACTTCTAATCTTCAAGCAGTTGCAGTGCGACTCACTTTACACGTTGCATTTACATTATGCTAGAAGAGTTCTGTTCAGATAATGATTTATGCATTTACAATGACGGTTCCAACACCTATTTACATCCTGGCACTGGAACTTATTCGGCGCTTGATTTATCAATCACGGATTCAAACCTACTGAATGAATTTGAATGGTCAGTTCACGATGACCTCTGCAGAAGTTACCATTTTCCTACAATTCTAACATCCGTTAACCCATCTGATATTACCCCATCTTCAAGATGGAATTTTAAAAAGGCTAACTGGCCTTTCTATCAAGCTCTGTGTTGTAACAGACTTAAACCTGAACTTTATATACAAAGTCCTGATCCTATAAAGGCTTTCTCTGATGAACTAATTAGCATTGCTGATGAGTGTATCCCCAAATCCTCTGCAATTCCACACATACGAAAACCATGGTTCAACAATGAGTGCAAACAGGCTAGGAAGGCACGGAAGAAAGCTGAGAATTATTTCCGTCGCCATCCTATGGTCCATAATTTGAATACATTTAAAATTTTAAATGCTAAGGCACGGCGTACCTTCAAGCAAAGTAAACGTCAATCCTGGCGAAATTATGTATCAAACATAAATTCACGAACGCCGATATCAAAGGTATGGAACATGATCCAGAAAATAAAAGGGAAGGGCTCTCAATCTAGCATTAAGCATCTCAAAGACGGAGACGAATTATTAACTAGTAAAACTGATATAGCAAATAAACTTGGAGAAACTTTGGCCAAACATTCTTCTTCTTCGAATTATATCCCCCAATTTCAAAACTATAAAATGCAACAGGAAAAGAAAACTATTAATTTCAATTCAGATAATGGGGAAGATTATAATGAAATATTTTCTATTCATGAGCTTCATACTGCTCTTGATCAAGCTCATGATACGGCTACAGGTGCTGATAACATACATTATCAGCTCCTGAAACACTTACCGGATTCCTGCTTAGAAACCCTTTTAAACATTTTTGATGATATTTGGACTTCTGGACAATTTCCTTCTTCATGGCGCGTTGTTATTATTGTACCCATCCCTAAACCTGGACGTGATCATACCGATCCTTCGAATTATCGACCAATCTCATTAACTAGCTGCGTTCGCAAGACCATGGAGCGCATGATAAATAATCGACTTGTGTGGTACCTGGAAACTAATAACCTTATAACAGACATTCAATGTGGTTTCCGTAAAAACAGAAGTACTATCGATCATTTAGTGCGTTTAGAATCCTTTGTTAAACATGCCATTATTAAAAAACAACATGCTGTGTCGATCTTTTTCGATTTAGAAAAAGCATATGACACCACATGGAAACATGGTATTTTAAGAGATTTACACGATTTTGGATTGAGAGGCCGTTTGCTTCTTTTTATATCACAGTTTTTAACGGACAGGCAATTTCAAGTTCGCGTGGGTTCTACCCTGTCTGATTGTTACAATCAGGATCAGGGTGTCCCACAAAGCAGTATTTTATCTGTCACACTCTTTAGTATTAAAATAAATAGTCTTTCAAAGGTTTTAAGTGATTCAAACGATGGATCTCTTTTCGTGGATGATTTGAATATTTCTTGCCGTGGTAAAAACATGCGAACTATTGAGAGACAATTACAAATTTGTCTCAACAAAATTCATAAATGGTGTCTTGAAAACGGGTTTAAATTTTCGAAATCCAAAACCAATTGTATACATTTTTGTAGGAAATACAAACCCCATAAAGATCCTGAATTATCATTAAATGGCACACCAATCAAAGTTGTCAAGGAAGCTAAATTCCTTGGTCTCATCTTTGATTCGCATTTAACCTTTCTGCCACATATCAAACATCTAAAAGCCAAATGCCTGAAGGCACTCGACTTGTTGAAAGTCGTTTCCAGTGGGGAGGGGACCAAACCACCCTCCTTCCTTTGTATAGATCACTGGTCCGATCGAAACTTGATTACTGCTCTATCGTATTTGGTGGGGCCTGTAAAAGCAACCTCAAACTACTTGATTCTATCCATCACCAGGGTCTAAGACTTTGTCTTGGGTCTTTCAGAACCTCTCCCATTGACAGTCTCTACGTTGAGGCCGATGAGCCATCTTTAAAACTTCGCCGTATCAAATTGTCCCTACAATATATCACAAGGTTATATTCTAATGAATCCAATCCTGCTCACACTTGCGTTTTTAATCCTCTTTATGAGGATTTGTATAATAAACAACCTTCACTTGTTCCACCTCTTGGGATAAGAATCCAACATTATATTTCTGCTGCTGGCATTGAGTTGGAGAATATATCTCCTTCCCGTCTTCTTTCTTCTCCTCCTTGGCAATCAGTGAGGCCACAAAGTTGACCTAACACTGACAAAGTTTTAAAAATCCGAAACTAACGAATTACAGTATAAACAAGAATATAATCAATTAAAGAATAAATATAATACATACAAATCCTCATTTACAGATGGGTCCATGGATGGTGGCGCGGTGGCATGTGCCACTGTCATTGGATCCCGAACAATATCTTCTCGACTACCAAATAATAGCTCTATTTTCGCAGCAGAAGCTAACGCCATATTAACAGCTCTTAAATATATTAATCAACACCGTAAATATAAACAATACATCATCTTTTCTGATTCTCTTTCGTGTCTTCAGGCTATTAAAAATCTTTCTTTTATTAGAAATTATTGAATTGTATAATGAACTGTTAAGGATCTTTTTAATACTGTTCATCTTCATTTAATTCTTGCTTTTTTAAAAGAAATTGATTTACAACATGAATTTTGATAAATATGTTCTGTAAATAGATGTGTTTTAATGATTGGTAGTTTCATGAGTAACTTAGATTGTTAGTGCCTGTACCCTCAAGAGGGGTTGAAGTATCGTAAAATAGTTTTCCCCCTGAGAGGGTACGTAAGTCCCAAAACTTTGAAAGTCAATTTAAACTTACCAGGATTTTTAAATGTAGTATTCTTGTTATTTTAATTTTGGCTAACATTTCTTATAATCGCCAACGGCTGACGGGATGGATAATATACAAAGATATGGTGAATATCCCCCCAATAATATATGTTATTTAAAGCCTCTTTTATAAATTACGTAAAATATTTGTGAATACATAGATGTTTGTGAATTGAAAACCTTAACATCTTTTATACGAATAATTGTTAGCAGAATGAATTTGATGAAAACGTACAACCCAACAGGGTAGAAATATCGATTGCAATATCTTAACTCCGTTATTTGCACATTAGTGCTTTGGGGATTCTCAGAAGCTTTGGTATGTCATACTACTTCCTCATTAACAACAAAATGCTTTAAAGTCATGTATGGCTCACCTTCAAATGTTGATAACATTTTGTCAACCGAACAATAGGTTAAGTAGAGATATCTATGAATACATGACACATATTTATGGATAACAGCTCCTTTTGTATTCTTTATACGACGTTTCACCTGATGAAGGAGCAAGAGTTAGATCTGAAACGTCGTATAAAGAATACAAAGAAGTTGTTATCCATAAATATGTGTCATGTAGTCATAATTCGGCCAACTTCTTAATGTCCCTATGAAGTTCTTTAAAGGCATTTATGGGTGTTAAATTTAAGGAACACAACTGTGCAGAAAACAAGCTTATGCCGTAATCGGACTTGCATCACTTCCAAATGCCAGCGTAAGCCTCGAATAATAAAGCTGACTGAAACGTTTAGCTTTCTTCAAATCATCTTTCTAACATTGATACCAATGATTTGCTTGAACTTTCTGAAGTATAAATAAGTGTCGATTGAATGATTGCTGTGTATACCATACCAAGAGTTGCAACATTGGACAGATCATGCTATAAATGGTCAACATTTTCAGAACACAATCACTTGGACATCGATATGACGAAGCAGAGTATTTATCCAGCAGTTGTTCTCTTTGCATCCTTTGCAACAATGCTCTGTGGACCAAGCATCGTGTATGCAAGCGGAGTAATCCACGTAGCGTTGCTCGAAGGATTCCAGGAGGATGTAACGGTGACAGCATGGGTTGGATCTCTCTTTTCTTGCATGTTTGCTCTCACAGGTAAGGAACTGACGAAACTTGAATAAAGAAGGCAGTTGCTAAAAGCACTTTGGTTAGTTTCATTTACTAATGCTCATGGTTTACTTTGATGCTGCATATTTCCCGTCTATTCCAGGACCAATTGGCAGCATGGTCATCAACGTGTTTGACTGCAGAACGTGTGTTGTGATATCTGGTGTCTTGATGATGGTTGGGTTCTCAGCCAGCTGTTTTGTGACCGAAATAAGGACATTGTTCGTAACCTATTCCTTAATTGCAGGTATGTGGAGTTCCAATTGGAAGACTAGTTGCCATCTAGTTTCTTCTTAATCCTGTACCGCAGATATCAGACTGAAAAGTAAACTTTATCGTTTTCTTGTTGACGTTAAAGAAATGATAAGTAATAAAAAGAATATCAAAAGCTGCCTGACAATAGGAAATATCTACTTCAAGGAGAGTCCAACGTACGCATCTGAATATTTACTTGATAAGGGGTGATTGTGGGGACGGATTCACTGATAACCTGCCAATAAAGGTTAGGTCACCCTATTGGTTTTCATGTATTCTGTATGCCATACCTGATAAAATACATACAATAATAGTCTGAAACATGGTTTTAATGTGTTGCAGTTCATATTTCAGGTCTTGGCACAGGCTTGGCACAAACCGGAAGTTTCGTCATCATTGGTTATTACTTCCCTGTAAAAACAGGTCTGGTTACGGGAATATCTATCTCAGGAATTGGACTTGGGATATTCATACATCCCCCACTCTTGCAGTATTTGACTGAAACATTTGGAGTCCACGGAGCCTTCCTTATCACCGGAGGAATAACACTTCATGTATGCATTGCCGGAATGCTTATGCGTCCATCTGACATAGAGCGCAAGAGAAAGCAACGTGTCAGAAATGAACAACCCGCAAAAAGAAATATGACATCAATATGTCGGGATGTAACGAGTGTCTACCATGTTTTAAGTAATATTTCATTTGTATTCTTTTTATGCAGTCTTTTGTGCTTTTCAATTGCTATAGCAACAGAATATCTCTTTCTTCCGGATTTCTTCATAAAACATGGATCAACATTCCAGGAGAGCGCCTTTGTTATATCAACCTCAGGCCTGGGAAGTATTGTCTCTCGGATTCTAATTGGTTTTGCTCTGAGCGACGAGAAGATTGCAAGTGCCACAATGTATTCCTCTGTGAATGGTATAATAGCAATTTTTACTTTTATGTTGCCACTGTTCAACACATCCTCACTTCTAAGAATACTTTATGGCTTCATTCTTGGATTGTATAGTGGAGGAACATGGGTTCCCATCAATACTCTAACACTTGAAATTCTTGGAATTCAAGACTTCGCCACTGGTGTGGGTGCAGCTTTATTTTCCTGTGGAGTCGGCTATCTTACAGGTCCTCCTATTGCAGGTACGTACAAATACATGAGTGAGTGAGGTAAAATGTATCGTCACATCAGCAATATTTCGGCCACATCGTGACAGCGGGATGATTATAGGACAATATTCAACATTTCCAAACGGTATAAAAGTACTATCATCAAAGGGAAGTTAAACAACTAGATTATCACATTTCATTTAAACTAGTTTGACATTATGTAAAATAGTAAATTACACATACATGAAAGAAACAAACACTATACAGGCACATAGGGATATAATTTATGTATGAATGTATATTTTTAAATCAAAGAGAAGGAGGAAATAAAGAGAAATATAATATTGTTATGCTGTACTACTAGAGACAAGCTATGATACATTTACAATTGTATTGTTTTTACAATTGTTACGTACTATGCAGCCACTGTGATATCTTCCCACAACCAGACACAAATACTGTTGATTATGAAAGTCGAGTTGCAATTATTGATTTTGGGAAAGGAGTATCAGCTACTGTTTTCCTTCTATCAATCATGTGTGTTGTGTCATCAGGTGTCTCATCAGGTGGCAAGACCTTTTCAAAGGATGTTGCATGTGGACACCTTTCATCGACATTTAGAAGTGATGCACAATCTTTTGGATGCCAACTTTTGTCACGAGACGATGTCTCAGAGCATATTCGGTGTCATGTTACTCATTGACAATCATACCATTTTGTCCTGTGTGGCTAATTATATGGAAATTCACTTATTTGAAGACATATAGCTTACTGGTAGCAGGATAGCCATACCTTGAAGCCACTATTCAGTGAGTGAGTGAGTTAAAATTTATCGTCACATCGGCAATATTTCAGCCATATCGTGACGAGAACAATTAATTGGTACACATAGTAAGTGATAGTAAATTTTAAAAGCCTGCCTACGAAGGACCGTGAAATAACTAGAGTATCACATAGAATAATTTAAAACTAGTAATTAAATCTAAAACAGTTTAACTATAGGTGACAATACAATATAAAACCGGGCTATAGATTGCCAACAACTGAAGGTAGATCACCATACTAGAGACCCCACTTTTCAAAGATACTTGTGCTGGAACATCGTAAGAAACGAGAAGAAATGTGTTAATGATAGTTATTACGAGTTTCATGCCTTCAATATCTGCCAACACCTATCAAAAACTAAATTGGAGTAGAATGCTTTAAGACCAATGGAAAAACAACGAAGAGAGTGGTAGTTGAGATGGTTGAAATTTTCTGTTTCAGGAGCCATAGTAAAAGCAAGCGGGTCGTACTACAGCGTTTTCCTCCTTTCTGGTATGTCAGGTGTAATGTACCCAGTTACGAATGTACCTTCCCACGTCAGTGATGTATTGTCAGTGATGTCAATGAAAGATGTGAAATGACATATTAGTTGCTTTGGAAGGGGTCAGTGAGTACGGAAAACCTGTACCTGTACAGTTTCAAAAACTATGTGATTATTTGCGAATAAACGAATGTTATATAGCCTTACACATATGAGCGTTATGAGACCAGTTAAAGCAATCAGTAGACTGTGTCAACATCAGTTGCGTACCCAAAATGAATATATACTGAACATCATTGAAAACGCACCACTTATAAAAGTTCAGATTATTAAAAGCACGTGTACGGAATTGATATATTTTTAGTAGATAATAACAGATGGACAACTGACAAAAACAACAACACAGACAAGACGCTCATTCATTGAAATGTTCCACAGTCAGAAAGGATCAAACACAAGTGGGGTCAAATCGAAAAGTCAATATCGCGTGTGACCGCCATTTGCATTGACACATGCAGTTCAACGTCTCCTCATTGAGTCAATAAGCGTCCGAATAGAGTTCTTGAGGATGGCATTCCACTTCTGCAGTAGTGCAGCCTCAAGTTCCCGGATGCTTCGCATCTGTTGTCGCCGCGAAAGACTGACCAATTTCGTCCCATAAGTGCTCCATGGGGGATACATCTGGCGACTGTGCTGGCCAATGAATAACCTGGATGTGTTGCTGGGCCAGATACTGCATGGAAAGTCTTGTTATGTGTGCCCGTGCTTTGTCCTGTTGAAAAGTATGGACATCTTTGTGGTGATTGAAGACAGATACGATGTGATTCTGAAGAATCTGCTCACGGTAATAAAGGGCATTAACTCTCCCATGACAGACATGAAGGCAGTCCTGTGATTGTAATTTATTCCACCCCAGATCATGACACTCCCACCACCCAAAGATCTGTCTGAACCAAACAGTCATCAGCATAACGTTCACCACGTCTACGCCAAAACGTAATCGGCCGTCAGCATTACGTACATGAAGACGTGACTCGTCAGTGACTACCACACCATGCCATTGTTGTAACCTTTACTGAAATACCTGCTTGCCCATTGCATACGCTCATTACGGTGTCTGTCAGTCAGAATTGGTCCAACGTAAGGACGTCGAGCATGGAGCCCTGTAGCGTGTAGACTGCGTCGCATGGAGTCAGCGCTGATGAGCCCCACGTCAACCTTGAACTAGTGCAGCAGTCCAGGCAGTCGGCAGTGTTCAATCACTGATATGAACAAGGTCATTATGGCGATCCTGATGGAGCGTAGTAACACGTTGTCGCCAAGGTCATTGAAGGTCACGGTTGCTGCCTGTCTACTGATGTCGTCTATGAAGCCTAACGATGGTGGAGTGGCCAAGTCCAAGTTGTCGAGCAATATCCCTGCTGCTGGTGCCAACCTGAATCATGCCTAGTGCACGTTCTCTTTCGTGAGGTGTTTACCTCGGCATCACAGTCGTTAGTGAAGCAATGAGAATCGGTTCTCATACACCTGCTTTTAATGTCACACTCAGTATGATTTCAGAATGAAATTCACGCTTTTTTCATGGCGTGGCTGCATGTTGAAGCATTTTGGAATTACGAGTCATACTGTGGACAGGAATTTGTTTCGAAAGCATTTTTTCAACTGGACATGCCCTTCGACTTCATGTTAGTTATATTTATTGATCATTGTCATGCTGAAATCCATCTTGATGATAATATGGACAATTTTATACTGGTGCGTCAATGATGTTAAGTATATTAAATTTTATATCCATCAATGACGTAGTATTTTCAGTTGTCCATCTGCTGCGTGGAACTATTTAGTTTGTTGATAGTAAAATCGTTAGTCAACAAAACCTATAACAGCATTCTAGTTCTTGTTAAAGTTCAAAGACGTTCGAATGTTCCTTTTCAGGTGCTATGTTTATCTCGGCCACGGTCTTAGGATTTATGTCAACTCTCAGCAAGAAGACACAACCACGAACAAAAGACTCCCATCTAAGGGTGACAGTACCTCTCAATGAAGGTGATACTGAAGTGGCATTACTACAACCATCAAAACCTATGATTGAAACGAAACAAACATACAGCGAGTATTGTGATGACAAACCTTCTGTAGCAGCAGCAGTAGCTGTACTGATGCCAGCAACTGAATCAAAGGAAAACTGTGGGGATGATTGTACTGAAGTGGGTAACAAAAGCATTGGTACAAACAACTGAAACAAGACAAAAGTCAAGGCTGTGTTGTGAACATACGGAAGGATATAACATAGAGGAATGTATTTTATTTTGATCATTTGCAGTATCGTGAAGACCATTACACTGAAACGGGTAACAGACGTGTTTCATTGAGGAGAGAGTAGGATATTTTGATCATGTTGATGAGAACTCATGTCCATTTATTGAAGCGGGTAACATAAATATACTACCCATCAAAAGTTTAGACTCACTTAAAGCACTCACTATATGTTATGCATATATGTATGGTTACATCGAAGATGAATTGCTCCACTAACTTGGGGGAACCAACTGAAAACATGAATTGCACGAGGATCATGCATCAAATTGCTGTAAAGCATGTGCAAGTATCATGCATGTGCACAGCTGCGTTTTGGTGTAAAGTTTTGTTACAAATTCGTCAATTTTCACTGAGTTTCATCATTTATTGAACTCATAACAATAATCTTTTCAACGTTACAAGTGTGTTTCACAATACATCAGTTTATGTGTAAACAGTACCTTTTTAACAGGATGGAATTTACTTTAGAACAGTTGACTTAAGTAAATGGCTAGATTTACACTAGTGAGTCTAAACTTTTTAATGGGAGTATATGTCGCATAGAAGAACATGTTATTTTCATGGCCTGTGAAGATCCGGGTTAGAATTAGACTTCAGTAAGCCATGCTTGTCTTAAGAGACGACTAACGGGATCGGGTGGTGAGGCTCGCTGACTTGGGTGACACATGTCATCGTATCCCAACTGTGCAGATCGATGCTCATAGAGTTGATCACTAAATTGTCTGGTCCAAACTCGATTATTTGCAAACCGCTGCCATGTAGCTGGAATATTACTGAGTGAACTAAACTCACTCACTGTTATTTTTGTTGTGATCTTGTTCAGTGTCGTGATGACCCGTTCTTTGAGAAGAAAGTATGTTATTTTGATTTTGTTGATGTACAGTATCTTGACAATCAGTATATTGAAGCGGGCAGCAATAGTAACAGTACGTTGTTGAGAAGTGAGTGTGTTATTATGCACATGCTCATTCAAAGTGACATAATCACAGTTCCCTTTCCATGGCCCCGTACATTGATGATGTCAACAACGATTGGTACTTTTACCATGGAACTCTACATAGTAATTTATTGTTATTGAAAATATTTACAGCTTTCTTTTCACGGCCCCCTAAATTGATGATGTCAGCAAAGGTTGGTACATATTACCATAGAACAGAGTTACACGCCCCTATCAACACTGTCACGCAACACAGCAGGTGAGAAAATTTAGGTAATTATCAAACTGCCTCGTGAAAT